CGAGTGGCATGGCTCGGCCATGCAGGCGTGGTCTCTATTCATATTAAATATATTGTTCCTTCTCTAACTTAACCTTGTCCTTCATCATGTATTGGTAATTGATACGATACAGTGAGTTGGCGTAGTCGATGGTGTGACTTCCACGTAAGATCTTATAGATTAGGCAGTTATATCATGACGAATCTACAAATTTAGGATTAGGTCTATTATTAGAGCAGTACTAATATCGTAGTAGATCATAGTTCTACAGGGTATTATTTACAGCAATATTTAACATGACTGTAAGTATGAATCACACTAGATAACTACATAGATCGTATCACTGGGTTGTATAGTAAGTGGACTGTTTCAAAACATTTGCACATTTAAATGTTATACGTCAAACAGATAAATCTTTAAGCACTAAAACTTTAGTTAACTGTAGGAGAAAGAAAATGCATCACTATAGAAAACGAACGTAGTTCTGTGAGTTAGCGACCAAAATTTTCGATCATTTGTGAGCAAAGTGGCAAAAAAGATGAACCAGTGAAGTAAATGCTAAGGTGTGAGATTGTATTAAGCGAAAGCGAGTACAACTAAGCCACCGTACAACAACAAAGGTACGGTCCAAATCAGAGTTGTAAATAGAAAAGACTAATAATACTCCATTTGGACTGCAGACAAACTTGAAATGGACGAACAAAGAAATTAGCGGAGGTGATGTTACTTGTAAGATGAAGCAAAAAACACTGTGATGAAAAGGAGTATTTGAATTATAGTATGAACTAAGAATCTCAGAAATAACGTAATCGGATCAAGAAGTACTAGATAAACACGAACGAATATACTGTATTTGGAATTCGAAATCAAGCGTTCAACAAGTACATCATTAGTTCATTCAAACACCTCATATGAAATATATTCACGAAGGATTTCACTATACTAAATGGTCATTGGATAAACAATATTTTTGAGTAGCCTATACTTCTGTCTAGCGAGCAAGTATATTGAGCAGTATTTTGTTGTGAACTTCGACCTTTGAAAGCGAAGGAAGTTTTATACGTTACTAGTGCTTGATTAACTATTCTCCTGAGTCATTTATTGAGCATTTTCGGGAAGCCGAAGTGACCGTCCCTGGGGTTATGTGTGAGGTATCGGGTGAAAATGGCAAATCGATTGATGAGATGGTGAATGTTCAGTGACTGAGATGTTCAGGACAAGTGTTACGCATAACGAAGCATCGTCTACTTCAATTAGGGATATACTAAAAGATGCTGGTAGGAATTAATGTCAGACCCACCATTGGACCATGATGTCATTTACTGTTGCAAGATTTACTTGCTCATTAATATAGATCGGCGTAAGACTAAGATATCCCCAAACTGCCAACTTTGGGGGAATGAGACTCAAACCCCAAAATTTCACCAAAGTTGGCAGCTTGGGTCGCTATGGGTTTTTAGTTTATTTCATTAGTAAATAGGAGTTTATCACTGACCATTACACGTCGAGGATTTACTGCATGGTCAAGAAAGTGAAATGATTTTTTTTTCAGAGGAACAAATAGACAACTCAGTAGTCATTCCTTAACAATATAACCAATGAAACGGCAATATGGTAGATTTACGATTTCCTCTTTATGAAACACCTAGAGTTAATACGTCACTCAAGTATGTATCTGCAAATATCAACCTATTAAGCACCAAGTCAGTGAACCACTAAAACAATCGAGCAAAATTATTTCTAATACTAACCGAGAAATATATATGTGGGAATGAAGGAAAAGTCTTTTGGCTTGGCTGGAATATGATGTATAAAGGAAGCAGGGGGAAAGATAATATGGTTCCACACAAAATTATAGGGGACAAATGAGTCTACAGAATGCGAAACTGTTCCTCCATTGTATACTTATTTGAAGATCAGATATGTTGCCTTAGTTGCAAGTGATGACCACTGACTGTTGGTTTTACAAATAATGCAGAATCCCAAAAGTCTGAAAACCTCACATGGCGATTAACGTTTAGAGCGGATCATTAGAATTTCATATTTAGATGGTGGTGATATTTAGCTCGGGGTGATGATTTGGGTGAAGTTTTCTTCTTTGAGTTGGATGCTTTGGTTGTGGAGCTTTCAGTTCTCCTCTGAACAACACCGTCAGTACAAACTTCAGGTAGAAAGTAAGTATTCGAATTCCTCCATAAATGACTGATAGCTTGTCCTGTTGACTTCGGTCTTGATTGGTTACTGCTGACATTTATCCTGTCATTATCTAATTCTTTATTTTGACTGTACTCTACATTAATTTGATTCTTGGTCTTATATTTGACCATGGTTTTTCCGACTGGTTGGTAGATTTGATCGGTTTCAATTTGTTCGTTGATTGACTTGAGTACCAAACTTCTAAAAATCCCCTGGTGCATTTAGGATCCCCTTAACACTTTCCCGGTCGAGTGTGTATCCACGTGCATCGATATAAGTGACGATATACCATGGCGTTTGACCGCTAATTGGTGTTCGCCTATACGAAGATAAAGGAGACACCCACTTTTTCCGATGCAGTGTTCTTCGCAGTTGAAACAATTTATTCTATAGATGATTTTTCGGATTTTCCTCTTTTGTTATTTCGTCCATTCGTTTACACAGGATTGATTTTGGTACACCTAATGATTGCTGACGCGAACTACAGGATCAACAAATACTAACACTTCATGGATGACCAAAAGACAAAGCTAGAGAGGATACTCACATTAAAACAATTGGTAATCTTGACAACAGCGATCCACAACACAAAAAACAAAGAAGAAACACCCTTACGAAATAATTAATCAAGATTCCAAAACCACCTATGGAATAAAATATAAAAAACTGCCTGGTCAACCCGTCAAAGCAACCTCTGACAAACATAGAACACCTGCTCCGAAAAGGATAAAACTACAATACAAATTACGCCTCAAAACTTATCACACAAGTTGAAATCATGAGTCAGTTGAAGCTAGATCACCATGGAAAACCTGAAAGCACTGGACGGCCGTTTCATCCTAGTATGGGACTCCTCAGCAATGCGCATCGACGACCCCGCACCTCGCGGGATTCGAACCCAGGACCTATAGGTTTCGCGCGCGAGCACTTAAACATTAGACCATTGAACCGGCATCCAACGGTGTTAATGTCTAACTTCAACCAATCTACTTATTAGCTGCATCAGAGGTATCAATCAAAAATGCCGAAATAAACGAAGAAACTCAAGAGGAAATAAGACAAGCCGTAGTACCGCTAACTCAATCGAAGAAAGACGATGCTTACTGACCTCACGAGAACAAAGAGCCTTAAAGAAAGTCGGAACTAGAAAAAATATTGTCATAGTTCCAGTGGACAACGGATGAACTAAAGTAACTTTGGACAAGGTAGAATATATCAGGAAAGCGGAGGAACTAATTGGGGACAAAAGCGTATACAAACCGATGGACACAAATCGAATCAAAAGGTTATACAACCAAATCTCAGGGACTTGAGACAAGCTTGTCGAAGCAGAACAAATATCAGATGGATGATGAAATCTAACGAGCAAGTACTCCCTCGGTTCTACGACAGGCCCAATCCCTGGATAAAGTTAATGAGATTCAAACCAGAAGCTACGAAGTGACATGATTATTCACCACAATCAAAGAAAGTTTAGCTAAGGAAACCCTGTCCCTGCTCTTCAACAATTTTCCATATAGAATGAGATAACTGCGAATTGACCTAGTGATTGAAACGACTGAAAGAAATCACATTTGATCACCATGTTCTGGAGTTACTTGATTCGGCCTCAATAAACTTTATTCAGTAATCCAGGCTAAAAGTAAATCAAGTATATTTGGAGTAAAAACTTTTAGATTCTATAGAAAATGAGTCATTTCACTAGTGTTAGTATCGTGTTGTGAGTTCTAAAGAAGCTCTAGTACTAAAATACAATCCCTGAGAGCTCCTTCGAAGTTAGGTCCTCGCAAGCCTTCCGACATAGACTGAATAGGATTACTGGACATTATACAGCTCTAAAACTTCCGGAAACCTCTTTAGAGTAACAAACCTTATCTAAAAAGCAAAAATTATAGCCTTAATAGCCAATAGTAACACGTGCTATCTTCAGAAAAGTATAGTGTAGCACCGTTTGAAAGTGAGGTGTTTAACACCAATAACATGAACTTCAAGACATAAAATTAAAAACTTCATCCAAAAACATTCTTTGACATGCTCTTCATATCCACTGAACAGACGAAATTCTTTATAAGATAATTTATTTTTATATAAAAAATGCTTTGTGAATTTAATATAACTCCAATGGCCACAACGGATTTCAGCTGTTAGTACAGGTGGGTTTTTATGAAAGTATGATCTCCCAACTATTAAATGTGAGCGCTTCGCCACTTTTCTTCTCCATCAACTAGATTGGATGGTTGCTCAAATCATCTATACTGACGAATGAGTGCACTCACTAGTGTTTTGGTTTTTTCCCTAAGATGTACCACGAAATCTTCCTAACGCATCCACATAATTTATCCACCTTTCGTTCTTGAGCGCATTTGTTTGGTTGGAATGTTTGCATTTCAAACAAATATTGTCACCGTGACAATTGTGGTATGGATATTCGAACCGATGTACGTACCTACGAAGTTCTACGTTGTTGACTGAGTGGTAAATCCTGTTTATCATTAGGTTTTCTCCTGCAGTCGCATAAAACGCTTATCTAAAATGTATTCAATTCTAGTCTACTGATAGCAGAAACCTCATACTGAAGTTTTATTTACAACGCATAACAACCAAGCTGCAATGTACCACGCCACTGATCATTAAGTGCTTTCAAACTGTTTATCAGATCAGAACTTCAAGTGTGTACTTACAGCGTTTTGTTTCGATCAGTGGTTTTTTATCCCCAGCGTTTTAAAGCAATATTAATATGTACTGTTTAATATTTAGGATACGAAACACAAAAACCCTACCTAACGTTCCTGTAAGTTCATTTTAATATAGTAATAAAAATGACATTTAATAAACTGGTCCGAACTGTTATATTTTTAATTTAATTCACTGCTGTAGGTTACTATCTTTAACATAGCACTGGATGTCATTCATCACAAGTTTGTCAAAATATGGGCGACTCATACCAATCTATGTTAACTGCACTTCGGTGATAGTGATTAAACAATGACTTTTTTACGTTAAGGATACAAGTTCAGACGTGATCGGTGACTTGTGAAGAATCGATTACTTTTGTAAGATGAAATAGAAAAACATGAATTGTTCGAAACAAAAACGAAGTCCTCCAGTAAATAATTTGCAATTTTACTATAAATATATGGATTATATCACACTATAAGGGATGAAAGATCACAGTCTGAAACATGGGGGGTTATAAATATATACCTGAGGGAATGATAACACAATAAGGGATAATTCAGTGTTTTTGTTGAACAAGAGTTGAGAGATACTTCACATGAGCCATCACTTCTGCCTAAAGAAATATAATTAGAGATAATGAGTTAAGAATAAACTGGAAATCAATGTAGTACAAATAATGCGATTGGAAATATAAATAATTTACTAAGTGAAGCAGTATTTGTACGTATATAACCGTTACATACCTAATTGATGTGTACATTCAGAGCGATCTTAAGTTGAGAACTTCAGTATCAAATGGAAAATTGATTATTGTATTTACCATAGAATTTCTTTGCATCAAAGTCACACTTTAACTGCCTATGAATTAGCATTTATTCATTACGATAGAACATGTACTGTGGTGTGAGACAATTATATCCACATAAGTAGTATATAACGATAGTCAGGAATGGAATGTATTTCAGTAGAAGATCGAGAAGGAAAGAACGGGAACGGAAGGCAATTGATATGAAAATGCAGAAACAGTGAAATCTAAGACGATGGGGTGATATTTGTAAAAGAAACAGTCAGGTTTGAGACATTTGATTGATATTTTGCAAATTAACTATTTACTGTATTGTTCTCAGATTTTAGTAAGACGTTCTGTCATTTTACGCTCAAATACATTCGATTGTCCCCACTCGTGTTCTTCTTCACCACAATACATCGTTACATACACTAACAATTATTTTTGAAAAACTGCTGACATATGTACTAACTTCACAATTCTTAATCACCAAGAGTATATACACTGGACTTTATTTATTAAGAGTCACTACGCCCTGTATCACGAAAATTGAAATTCATCTGATGAAAAAGCAAGACTTGTCAAACCCAAAGAAATCAAATAATCTACCCATAGTTAAGTGGAACTTTTTGTTACCGAAGTGTTAATCTAAGCTGACACTTGAAAAAGTCACCTTCGTCAAGTTTAAACTCCCGTTAAAGTCATTCTAGGGTTACAACTAGTTTCAAGCGCAGGTGAGAGAGGCCTAGGTATAGAGTTAACAACCAGATCCCAAAATGACAATAAAATTCTCCCAACCCCCCTCTCCTGACAACTAGAGCGACAATTAATGCAGCTACATGGAATGTCCAGACTGTGTAGGAATCTAAGAGGGTTCGCTCTGCTTGGAGTAAGTGAAACACATTGAACAGAAGCTGGAAAGGAAAGACTAGGTTGGGCAGAATCGTTATTCTGCACTGATCATGAAGAAAATGTACCCCACCAAACACAAGGAGTTACAATAACCATCTTCAAAGAAGCACGAAAAGTACTTATGCGGTGGGAATGTTATGGTTAATAATTCATCAAAGGGTTTCTCTAAATAAGTTAGTCAGCTACAACGTAGGACCAGGCACATATGTGCATCGGTCCAAGTTGCCATACCTCATTAGCACAACAAGATGATCACCAAATGCCTAGAAGCAGTTACTTTAATGGTAGTATATAAAAAAGCATTTCATATAAGGATCTGATACAGGGGGAAAGAATTAGTTCGTAGAAAGGAAGGTATAAAGCAATTTTAATCTCACGGTTTAAGGGAGGCAGAGAGTATATACACCTACGCCATTGTGATCGATTCTGAGCCATGTCACCAAGAGTCTTCAACCAGTGGTTACGAGGCACGCGGACCCCAACCTAGTAGTCTGCATCTACCAACATGGCTCAGACTAGAAGTTAGTGGCTTAAAGCATTGATACCATGTTTTGCTTTGGCCATAGATCTACTGATGGAAATAACATTCTCGTCTACTAAATTCTCGGGTATGGATCTCCTTCCAGGAGGTTCACTTATCGACTTAGCATACTCAGACAACATAGTTTTGTTTAGTGAACACGCTGATAAAATTCAGTCCTTTGATAGCACTGAGCAACAATGCCAGTATGTTTAAGATGCATTTTCCCCCTCTAAATGCAAGTTGTTGCTTCACGACTGGCGTGCGTCAACACCTGAACTAAGGATAGGGAGTGAAGTAGTCGAACGCGTCGACAACTTCACTTATCTAGGAAGTTTGACCAGCCCTAATGGGTTGGTGTCTGACGAAATCTCAGGCGGAATATCCGTCTATCAATTAACGGACGAGTATACTGCGCAGCAGTTCGCTCTGTTCTTCTTTACGGCTGCGAAACGTGACCATTAAGAGTAGAAGATACTCGTCAGCTACTAATATTTGACCACAGATGGCTTAGAAATATTACTTGCATCTGTTGGGATCACCGGGTAAGTAATAGTGAGGTTAGACGTAGGGTATTAGGGAATGATCGTAAATCAGTTGATTACGTTATGAATCTTCATCGACTGAGATGGTTGGGCCACGTGTTACGTATGCCCGAACACCGATTATCACGACGTGCAATGCTATCCGAAATTGGAGATGGTTGGAAGAAAGTTAGGGGCGGCCAAACCAAAACGTGGCATCAGTCCATGAAGTCACTAATTTCCAGTCTGAGCCATGTTGGTAGATGCAGACTACTTGGTTGGGGTCCACGTGACTATCGTAACCAATGGTTGGAGACTCTGTGTGACATGGCTCAGAGCCGATCTCAATGGCGTCGGTGTATACACTCTCTGTCTCCTCTTAAACTGAGAGATTAAAATTGCTTCATATCTTTCTTCCTACGAACTAATTCTTTCTTCCTGTACTTAATCCTTATGGCAATCTTTATTTTATATATTACTACCTCTGAATTAACTACTTTTATGAATCCGATGTCCATCTTGTTGCGTTAATGAGGTATGGCAACTTGGACCGATGCACATATATATGCCTGGTCCAACGTTATAGCTGACTGACTTTCTTCCAACCATCCCCAACAATAGTCAGCAATGTGCTTCGTGATAATCGGTGTTCAGGCATACGTAACACGTGGCCCAACCATCTCCGTCGACGAAGATTCACAATCTCATCAACTGATTTACCATCATTCCCTAATGCCCTACGTCTAACCTCACTATTACTTACCCGGTGATCCCAACAGATGCAAGTAATATTTCTAAGCCATCTGCTGTCAAATATTAGTAGCTGACGAGTATCTTCTACTCTTAATGGTCACGTTTCGCAGCCGTAAAGAAGAACAGAGCGAACTGCTGCGCAGTATACTCGTCCGTTAATTGATAGACGGATATTCCGCCTTCGTTATAGGTGACGTAAGTTGGCAAAAGCCAATCGAGCTTTTCGGATCCCTGCTGAGATTTCGTCAGACACCAACCCATTTGGGCTGGTCAAACTTCCTAGATAAGTGAAGTTGTCGACGCGTTCGACTACTTCACTCCCTATCCTTAGTTCAGGTGTTGACGCACGCCAGTCGTGAAGCAACAACTTGCATTTAGAGGGGGAAAATGCATCTTAAACATACTGGCATTGTTGCTCAGTGCTATCAAAGGACTGAATTTTATCAGCGTGTTCACTAAACAAAACTATGTTGTCTGAGTATGCTAAGTCGATAAGTGAACCTCCTGGTAGGAGATCAATGAACGAAAATTCAGTCGATGAGAGCGTTATTTCTATCAATAGGTCTATTACGAAGTTGAACAAAAATGGAGAAAGCGGACAGCCTTGACGGACACCACAAGCTGTCACTCGATCAATAGTGTTCGAGTAAAGAGCCTTCACAAAGTTTATGTACTTCTGAGGTACGCCTATTAATGACAAACACTGCCACAGAACCTCTCGATCTACAGAGTCAAACGCTGCTTTTAGGTTGAGAAAGACCAAGGTTGTCGGACGCTGATAAGCACGTCTGTGTTCTATAACCTGACGAATGGTGAATATGTGGTCGATGCAGACACGATCATGTATCACTTACACTTGAGTTATTAATTCTAGTTTCTTTTATTGCTATGAAGGGCTGTCTTGTGTTCCCTACAGCTACTGCCTTTTCCATCTCTTTTGTTTTCGTTGCCCACCACTGATCACAGTCGTTCCTTAGACTTTTGGTCAATCTAGACTTTATTTGTTTTCGCTCTTTATAGAGTTCAGAGGCTGGTGGGATGAGCTTACGAGAATCTACCAGTAATAGAGTTAGAAGAAATCCATTGGTTTTTGTAACTCTTTGGTTTAAATCATTAACAGATGTCACTGCTGTTTGTAACTTTCCAAGCAACAACTGGGTGAGCCTCGTTTTCGGAACTGCCTAAGTGTGAACTCAGTTGTTCCTGGAACCTACTTTTGGATTTCTCGTCACTCAATTAAATCCTAATGTGTCTTCCTAATGTGGTTTTTGTGAGTCCAGTGACGCGCAACCAAATGCGTACACGTATTAGAGCATGATCGGAGTCCAAACAGGTATTCTAGAACGAGCGACAATCTCCTGTTGAGCCTCTCTAACGAGAACTGATGGCAATATAATCTATTTGAGTCCATCGTTGGTTTGGTGCACGGGGTCGCCATGTTAGACGATGTCTCAACTTATGCTTAAAATTAGTGATGGCTAAAAACAAAAAATTGTCTGAGTACAGTTGGAGAAGACAATCATCATTATCTGTTTGCTGAGCCGAAATACTAAAATACCCACCTGAATGTCTTTCTGTTTGATTTAGGCTACCTACCTATGTATTAAGGTCACTTGCTACAAGTACTATGTCTAAGCGTCTAGCTTTATGAAGAAGTTCAGAAAGCTTTCTGTAAAAGTCATCTTTTACTTCATCTGGGTCGCAGTCAGTGAGGTCGTGGACAGAAAAAACGAAAAGGTAACGACGTGTGTTCCTATCCTTCCGAGTTCATACGGAGCCATTTAACCGTACAGCATATAGGCGACTGTTAACAGGGATCCATTCTAACACTGCTTGTTCTACCCTCGTACTTAATGCCATGCCTACACCTGCCAGTCCACGAGAACCAGCCATCGGAACGCCAGAGACACGGAGGGTGCATCTCGTCGGCTCTCCGTTTTGCCGAGGTGAGGTCAAGAGAATGACAACACAAGGGTCCTGTATGCGTGTTTTGGAGACACAGGATACATCAATAGTAAAAGATTCTAGGGTTTTAGCCTAGGAGGCCTGTTGGCCGATTTGACACAGGATGGGACAATCAGTGATTGCGACCAATGATGCGATTACGTCCAACTACC